GAAACCACAATCGATGCCAACGCCGCCGCAAACAAGCGCCCAGCGTCTCTCCAGGAGACAAAGTGAACCCCCAAAGCCCCGACCCCGGTGATCCCCACCGAGGGTCAGCCCCCTTCCCGAAGGCCACGGGGAGGGAGGGAGGGTGCAGGTGACTGGTGGCCGCTGGGCCCGCGAGGCTTTGAGCGTTTAAGAGAGTCGGTGGGAGCCAGCGGGCGCTGCCCCGTCTCCGGACTGCGCAGAAAGTCTTTGCCCCACACCCAGCTCTGCAGTTGCCTTCCCTTTACTTTCCCAGGGAAAGAGGTGGAAAGTCCCCTAGTCTTCGGTGCTCCCTTAAAAATTCGGTAGGAAGCGAATCGTACCTCCTCTTCTGCCTGAGGGGGACCTCCACCCCTGCCTGAGGGGGACCTCCACCCCTGCCTTAGGGGGACCTCCACCCCTGCCTGAGGGGGACCTCCACCCCTGCCTTAGGGGGACCTCCACCCCTGCCTGAGGGGGACCTCCACCCCTGCCTTAGGGGGACCTCCACCCCTGCCTGAGGGGGACCTCCACCCCTGCCTTAGGGGGACCTCCACCCCTGCCTGAGGGGGACCTCCGTCTCGGTCCCGGGAAGGAGCTAGGGAGCGCGTAGGCTCAGGCTGAGGGGGGTGGAATCCACCTGTCCCTACCTAACAGTCACGCTCTGAGTCTGCAGCTGAGATGAAGAAATGAAGACCTGCAGCCCTCTTACACGGCACCCCCCTCATTCTTGAAATTACTTCTGATTTGTCTCTCGTTCGGCTGGGGTGCACCTTCAAGTATCCTTTGCCAGAAGGATAAGCGAGTGGTATGGTTTCTGTCTTTGGGTATCTGAGAAGATATGATTGGTTGGTGACTCAGCTTCCCTGTCTTCTGGTCGTTGTGTTGCAGAAAGTCTGAGGTCAGGGCAATTTGTATTATTTTGTAACTTGGACACACACACACACACACACACACACACACACACACACACAGGTGTGTGTATAATTCTTTAACCTACTGATGAAAATAAAATGTAACCAGTATCACTCTCTTTTCATTGAGTTTGGCTGGAACATAGTAACTTTTGACTTACACGCCTTTCTTTATTCCTGGAAAAAATATGTCAGTTATTGCTTTGACTAGAACTTCTGGTAGCTCCACTATTTCTCTTATGAATCACTCTAAGCCTTAGGTTGTACATCCATTTAGGATTCTCAAATCTTGTCACTTTATCATTTTTAGCTCTTAATCCTTTCCTCTGCCTTTTGGGAGAGATTGGCCAGTTTATCTGGTTTTTTGGAACAACAGTCTTTTTTTTTTTTTTTTTTACAATTTCTGTTGTGATTTAACATTTGCTATTGCATTTACATTTTAAAAGTTCAGTATGGAAAAAATGCACCCATAATTCTACTACCCAGAGATAAGTAACTATTAATATCTTGGAGTATATCCTTCCACATTTTTTTCTGTCTCTATTTCTATAGCCATATATAGAACTATCTGCTAGAAAATCCCTTTGTATAATACTATATGCAATACAACATTTCATCTGGTATTTCATATTCACACTCCTGTTGTTTTGATAGAGGTGGATTTAAAAATTATGTTAAGGAAATACTCTTTATTTTTATTTATTAAAAAAATACTACACTGATTGAGTGCTGCTCTATGTTTGGCACTGTGCAATATACTTTTCTACATTAAGTCTTTAAATGGAATGATAATCATCTTTTGAGTGATGAAACTGAGGTCTGAGAATGAATTGTCTGAAGTCAATCAGCTAGTAAGTAGAAGCCCATCTCTGAATTCAGGTCTGTCTACCACTAAAGCCCCCTGGCCATATAATGCTTCCACTTTTTTTTTTTTTTTAATCCTTACCCGAGGATATTTTTTTCCCATTGCTTTTTCAGCAAGTGGAAGAGAGAGAGAGGAAGAGAGAGAAGATCAATGTGAGAGAGACACAGTGGATTGGTTGCCTCCCTGACTTGGGCCATGGATGAGCCTGCAACCGGGGTATGTGCCCTTGGCTGGAATCAAACCGGGGACCCTTCAGTCTGCGGGCTGACGTTCTAACTGCTGAGACAAACCAGCCAGGACAATGCTTCCACTTCTTAGTGAACTTTTTGTAAAAATAAGGAATGGATGCTAATTTTATAAAATGCCTCTTAAGCATCTTTCAAGATGGCCACATGTTTTCTTCTCTTTTGACCTATTGGTGTGATGAATTCTATTAATGGATTTTTTTTCTTTTCCTTTTTTAAGAAAATATGTCTATTGATTTCAGAGAGAGGAAGGGAGAGGGAGATAGCAAAGTCAATGATGAGAGGGCCATCGGTAGATCGGCTGCCTCCTGCACGCCCCCCACTGGCTGGGAATCAAACAGCGATCTCCTGGATCACTGGTCGATGCTCACTGCTGAGCCATGTGGACAGGGCTAATGGTTTTTTTCAGTGTGAAGTCTGCATTCTTAGATGATACCCTACTAGATATGAGTGCATTATTCTTTTAATATTTTGCTGAGTTAATTGGCTTGAATTTTAATATTTTTCTCCATCTACATTTATAAGAGAGATTTGTATAGTGTTTTTTACTGTGTTCTTTGTCACCGTGCTAATTATGGCTTTGGAAAAGGCATCAGAAAGCATCTCTTGTTTTTTTCTCCTCTGGAACAACTTAAATAGCACAATTATACACTATTTGAAGGCATGCAAAACTGCCTGGGTAATTCTCTGGGACCTGCACCTTTTGCAGGGGGGAGTTGGATGATATTCTCCATCTTTAAAGTACCCACCTGGCACCATGCATAGTTATTACAATGTCATTGACTATATTCCCTATGCTGTACTTTACATCCCCATGACTATTTTTACTACTAATGTGTACTTCCTTTTTTTAGAGAGAGAGGGGAAGGGAGGGAGAGGGGAAAGAGAGAGAGAAAGAGAGATAAATAGAGAGAGAGGGAGAGAGAGAAACATCAATGCAAGAGAGAACACTGCTCAGTTGCCTTCCCAAGGGGGATCAGACCCGCAGCCTAGGTCTGTGCCCTGACCAGGAATCTGACCCGAAACCTTTTGGTGTACGGGAGGACGCTCCAACCAGCTGAGCCACGCTGGCCAGGGCCCAATTTGTACTTCTTAATCCCGTCACCTTTTCACCCAGACCCCTAACCCCTCTTCCCTCCGGCAACCATCAGTTTGTTTTCTGAGTCTATGGTCTGTTTCGCTTGTTCATTTATTTGGTCTTTAGATGTTGCATATAAGTGAAATCATATGTTATTTGTCTTTCTCTGTCTGACTTATCTCACTTAGTATAATACCATCTAGGTCCAGCCATGCTGTTGCCAATGGTAAGATTTCATTCTTTTTTTTATGGCCGAGTAATATCCCATTGTATGTATGTATCACAGCTTTTGTACCCACTTGTCTATTGATGGGCACTTGGGTTGCTTCCATGTCTTGGCTACTGTACATAATGCTGCAGTGAACATATATCTTTTCAAATTAGTGTTTTGGATTTCTTTGGATGTATACCCAGAAGGGTATATCATAAGGCAGTTCCATTTTTAATTTCTGAGGAACCCCCATACTGTTTTCCATAGTAGCTGCACCAGTCTGCATTCCCACCAACGCTCCACTCCAACACTTGTTTGTGTATTTATTGATGATAATCATTCTGACAGGTGTGAGGTGATATGTCATTGTGGTTTTAATTTGCATCTCTCTGATGATTAGTGATGTTTAGC